ATAGTAGTTCTGCACCTGAGATTTGCAGTTCTTATTTCTTGTTTAATAAGTAATTGCCTCATTCAGGAAAATAATATAATTACCTCTATTATATTCTGTATGTGCCGAAACTACCAAAAATTCAAAAAGCATTTATGACATTCCTTCCTTTTGAGTCCATCACTTTATGATGTGCACAGTATAGTGTTGACCATCCCTTCGATCTCTTTGCAGATGATGAGTTTGACATGGAAATGCATTCAAGAGAGCTATGCCCTGGCTTGGAGATGAGTTTGGGAATGAAGAATGCCTCAAGTTCAATGTTTTCCTGGCTTGAGGTTTAGTTCAGTGGATGGAGCATGCAGCAGAATAACCAGATTTCTGTCTACGCAACATCGGGAATGTTCCCATCTTTGCTCTCATCCAACTCCCTTAATAATAATGTCAGCACTGATATCCATCGAAGTTACTGAGTTTTCAAACCCTGTCCTCTCTGCATCAAATCTTCAATTTAACAGACCAAATTTACCAAACCAAGTCAACCACAAGCCCCAACATCATGGCCCTCAGCAGCAGCAGCAGCAGATGCAATCTTTGTTGCAAGCGCCTGTAAACCAGCTCCAGCAGCAGAGGCAGCAGGCACCCCGGTCCACCCCAGCCACAGCAGCTTCCTTCCGAGCCACAGAACCTCACACACAGCAGCAGCCACCGCCCCAATTGCAGCAACAGCGAGTACAACAACCACAACAGCAGCAACACAGTCATGCCAACAGCCATTTATACACAACGGGGTATTGGTTCTAGCCAGATTCCAAATCAAAAATGTGCCACAAAAATAGCCCATAGCTCTCTCAATTCAGCAAGCAGCAGCAGCAGTTACTCTCAGCCAGCATGACACTTCCAAAATATTCAATCGGCTAGCAAGAATACATTCCACTTACAACCTTGCCACAAGATTCACAGTTTCAGTCACAGCTAGACAGCAAGCTACTCTCTTGCAGAGGCAGCAGCAGCAATCCCAATTGCAGTTATTGCAACAAAGCTTGTCCCAGAGGGCCCCGCAACAACCCAAGTGGCTCAATTACCACAACAAAACCTGTCAGAACAACAGTTGCAGTTACATTTCTACAAAAAATTGCAGCAGCAGCAGCAGCAATTTCTTTCTCCGACTAGTTCAATTTTGCAGCCTCAGCTGCTACAAGCAGCAGCAGCAAGCACACCTACAAAATCAGCAACTACCACAACCGCCTCTATCTCAGCATCAGCCTCAGCCCTCAGCCTCAGCAGCTTCAGCAACAATGCTTTATCTGCAGAGAAGCTTCTGGTCAGCAACAGCTTTTCTTCTTCACCTCTGATACAACCACAACAGCTTCCTTGAACCAAGCTCTATATACAGCAAACCACTTACAACTACCAGAGCTCCCTCTAGTCTTACAGATGGAGATGCCCCTTCATGCTCCACCTCGCCATCAACTAATAACCTGCAGTCAGCAAACCTCCTGAAGAGAAATCAACAATTGCCGGCAACACTAGGGGGGAGCTTGGTAGTTGAGCCCACTAATAATCTGGTACACATGAGCTGCAGGGCAAGTCTGACATCCAGATCAAACATGAGTTGCCAATGTAAAAGGGCCTGACCCGCTTAAGTATAAAGGGACAATAACTGATCAATTGGAAGCCTCTTCTTCTGGAACTTCTTACTGTCTTGACCTTCCCTTGCATGTGCAGCCAAACTTCCCCCTTCCAAATTTCTGCATGGATGGGGATGTCCAATCGCATCCTAGGAATAGTCTTCCATTTTCCTCTAATCTTGATGGATTAACACCTGATACCTTGCTCTCGAGAGGGTATGACTCACAAAAAGATCTTCAAATTTGCTCTCAACTATGGTGGTGCTCCAAGAGATATAGAAACTGAGCTGTCAACTGCTGCTATCAGCTCACAGTCATTTGGAGTGCCAAACATGCCTTTAAGCCTGGCTGTTCAAGTGATGTTGCCATTAATGAAACTGGGGTTTTAAATAATGGCTTGTGGACTAACCAGGCTCAACGAATGCGAACATATACTAAGGTTTGTTAATTTGTACAAGTGCATACAATACAAGTTCTTGATATTAACATATTTGCTGAATTCACACCTCAATTTTCATTGCAATTCATACAAGTAGGACTGTCATACAATGCAAAGAAGGTACAAATTGAGCGGATAACTTTTTTTGTTCTGATTTTAGTAGGTCATTTGCTTGAGGTACACCATCAATTATAATCCACATACATATTCACTTACTAACTAATGTCGTTTCTCCCTTCATTTCCTCATTTCCTTCTTTCTTTCTTGCTCAATACTTAATGTTTGTCATCCATGCATGTCATGAATTTTTTCATTACTTCAGTCTATGAGGATTAATTTAACTTTAGTTGGCATCTTTTCCTTGATTTAAATAATACACTAGTCAGCTTTGTGTTGGGCTTCATCATTCTTGTGATTGCCTGGATGCAGTGCCGCCCTGAAATCACTCGCAGTTTGCATTTTGTGGTTTACTGTATACTTTCGGTAGTAATGTCAAAAGCTTAACGCTGCTTTAAAAGTGCAGGTTCAAAAACGTGGCTCTGTTGGAAGATGCATTGATGTCACTCGTTACAAGGGATATGATGAACTCAGACATGACTTGGCTCGTATGTTTGGGATTGAGGGGCAACTGGAAGATCCTCAAAGGACTGATTGGAAGCTAGTATATGTGGATCATGAAAATGACATTCTTCTTGTTGGGGATGACCCTTGGGAGTAAGTAGCCAATACCTCCTGGTTTGTTCTATCATACTTTTTCAGGCTTGTTTCCTCAACTGTTCGCCTCAATTTTTTGCAGAAATTTGTAGGCTGTGTTCAGAGCATAAGATATTGTCATCTGTTGAAGTGCAGCAAATGAGCTTAGACGGGGATTTAGGTAATGTTCCGATATCCAACCAAGCTTGTAGTGGGACAGATAGTGGTAATGCATGGAGGGGACAATATGATGATAACTCAGCCGCCTCATTTAATCGATAAGGATGTCAGAGCAGTCTACTTGTGTATTTTGAAAGCCGGAGGACCAACTTTGTCCTTGACAATTCTGCTCATTGTCTTGCCTCTCTGTGACTGTGACTGTGACAGAAGAAAGGAGCCATAATCATTTCAAGTGATGCTGGTGATTAGGTATAGTAGAAGATTGTTGTCCAAATGGATTTTAATGGGGAGTTTAGGATCTTAGATGTAGAAGCAGCAGATTCGGTTATTGTTTAAATGTTGTTACAGACCTTACCTTGAATCTGCTTTTCTCGTAGCTGCTGTTTTAGGAAATTTTTTCCCTTGTTGCTAAATGCAGCAGCATATAAGGCCAAGTAGTGTATAATAGATGGTTCTGATATGAAATTATTTTTTGGCTTACACTTCACACCTCTGTAAATCATGTGGTAAAAGTGCAAAGATGTTGTAACCATAGTGATGACTCGGACAGTTTGACAATGGTTGAGAATTCTAACTCTTCTAGGAGCGACCAGGTTGTTTCATTGGTGTAAATGTTGGAGAAGTGCATTGTGGATGAGGAAAGAGCTGGTTGTTTTTGGCCCTTCGTCTTCTGGGTGTTGTGTGCTAAGTCTTGCAGTTGACTTGCATTTATGTAGAAGATATATCCGTACGAACTACTTAGTGACTATATCAATTATAATTACTAATCTTGTGACAATATTTTAGTTTTATTTTTTTAATGTATATCTTTCCTTTATTTATTGGGATATCATAATAATCTCCCTTTTAGTTGAGTTTAAATGAAAAACCAATTCATTTTAATGAGAACGACGAAAACTTTTTTATCCAAAATTAACATACCCCTATTCACCAAAAACTAAAACAATTCTGCTGAAATTTTTGTTAAGAGGGAAAAGATTTTATTCTCTTTAATCGAAACTTTATGCAGAAGGAATGTTTCGTTTTCCTTGGAGGAAAAAAAAAAAAAAGTCTTCTGTCAACTTCATTTAACATGATTGTGTTTAGTTAATATATAGTACTCCTCAATCTTAATTTATAAGGTGTTTTTAAATAAAATCATATGAATGGAATTTAATTTCATGATAAAAATATAATTTTTTAAAAATATCCTTAATAGTTTATTTATGAAAGAATATTAAAAAAAAATATGTGATGAGAAGATCACATTAAAAACCATTTAATAAAATTTATTTTTATCAAAATCTCATTTTATGACGCTAAATCTCTCCAAAAATCTCTTATAAAGGAAGACACATGTCGTGATCTGTTTTATTGTGTATTGGAATCATATGATTAACTTCTAAGAAAACAAAATACCGTTCTCCCTATCGTCAAACTCATTCATATTCGATAGTGAATGGTGGCTCGGTACTCATAATAGGTATTAATCTTTCAATAACTAATATATGGTACAATACAACTGCATTGAAAGTTTGAGACACATGCCCCAAATGCAGGAAGCTTCTTGACATGATAATCATTATGGGCATTACAGGCGCTTTTTTTATTTCGCGCCCGGGATGGGTATTATGAGCTGATAACACATAAAACTGACTTCCGCACAACGTTTTCCAAGCCTAGGTCTTCTGAGAGCAATAAAAAACCGTTTTGAACTTTGAAACACAATGTGAAGATAAAAACTGCAACAAAAACGAATTCATAACATCTAACAAGAAACGTTTTCCAAATACAAGCAGCAAAATTGCAATCAACCATATTTCAAAGTCGCTACAAACAAAATTCCATCGTCCTCAAAACAGCTACAAAACATTTATAAAGAAAAAGTAAGTTATCATGCACGAGTAGATAACACTAGGAAAGAACAGCCATGACATCTGAGGCCCTCAACGCAATGTAGTCAGAACCATCCTTGCCCTTGAAGTCATTCCCCGCATATTTGGAGTAGAGAACAGTGTTTCCAGGATTAACGGGCAACGGTTTTCTGTTGCCTTCCTCATCTAGAGGCCCCGGTCCAACTGCTATCACCTGTAACATCCAAAGCAGAACAGATTATGACCGACCACTACAAACTATGCAGCAAGATTACAATGTTCTCACTTTAAAAACATTAGCGCCTAAATTTTACCAAAACACTGTCTAACCAAAAAATTTTCTTGTGATAACTTTACAATCAAGTGAGGAAGTATACCGTTCCAATAGATGGCTTCTCTTTCGTTGCCTCTGTTAGTAACAACCCCCCTGCAGTTTTCTCCTCAGCCTCTGCAACCTGAGTCAACATTTAGTTAATTGATGCATACCATTGTCATTATTCCACAAATCCAAAATATGGCAGAAATGAGTATTCTTAAAAGGAAACACGCATAGGAAAGAAAAAAACTTCAGGTTAACAAAAACTACGGAGAAGTTCGCCAAAAACATATGCCTAGAAGATAAGACCATTTCCTGATAGATTAATAGATGACCCAATGTCAACCTTCAATTTTCATCCAATGATAATATATAAAATGCTCTAAACAGGGTGTACCTTGATCAATACTCTATCATTCAGAGGTTTAAGATCATGATATCATCCGTTTCAAGGATACCAACAATGTCATCATCCTTCAGTATAAGATGCTTTGAACCATTAAACTCCACTCAGTCCCTGCATATTTTGAATACACAACTTGTGCACCAGTCTGTAGAACGAAAATGCATGGCGTCAATTAGAAATATAGCAAACGTCCTCAATGACACCAAAAAGGAAAAATTAATGCGAACAGATAGGCACCAAAAGGGTTAAACCTTATTATAACAACAATACCTTCACTGCAATGTCAACTTTGCTTTTCCCAACTGTCTTCCCCTCTCCAATAGCTACCACCTCACCACCTTGAGGCTTTGTTTGAGCAGTTGTGGGAAGCAAGATCCCACCATCAGTCTTCTCTTCAGAATCCTTAATTTTTACCAGCACTCTGTCACCCAAAGGCTTAATTGAGGTGTACTACACAAAATAATTACCAATCAGCCACATGTAGCATAAATCAGGGAGAAATAAAGTCCAGAAACAATGTAGACAAGAAAACAGATCATATATACCTAAATAGTTAGGTTAAATTATAAAGGAAATCAAATCTGCCACAGCATCGATTTATTGAACAAAGACCTGGTAAAAATTCACTTAACGTTCTCTACTGTGTTCACTGTTCACCTGCAATTGGATGCAGGGTTGTCCCATCTATTTACTCGTTTGGGGGAAAAATTAAGATAAAAGAAGACAGAAACTGATGATGGTCTTGTGGAAATAGATGATGTTTAAGTAACAAAGGCACGTGTGTTTATCTACAATTTGTATCAAAAGTGCAACCAAGCAAGCATCACCATGCATCCATCATGCGCAGGTAATTAATAAGCTGAATCCTGACCGACTCTTTCAACAAAAGATGTTAACAAAGAGACTCATAACTAATGCTTAACCTTCGCAAAGCAAAAGTGTTACATAATAATACGAAAGTCAGAGCATCATGCTGAGAGTTAAAATTGGACAAGCTGGAGTTTATAAATACCAAGTTACCATGTACCAACTACAGGAAAAGAAGTACATATAAGATTTGTGAATTACAAAATTGAACCACGGAAAACATCCATATCTAAAAAGTCACATTGTATAGCAACCCCGTCTCTGCATAACTGCGGCAATGTCGTAAGTAGGATGAACTATAGAGGGCCAATGCAGCACGCAAGAAAGAGTATTAACGATTACAAACAGAAATTTACAACTGTGGCCATAATTGTCCAATCAATATATACAAAAACAATTTGAGGACAACAACAATATACCTTGGGCGCAACAACAGTTGCGGCTTTAACAACCAAGCCCCGGAACGACCTTTGAGTGAGGCCACCTATTCTTACGTGTCTGATCGCAGAACCATGAACCATCGAAGGTCGAAGACTTTCGAAGGAGGGCAAATTCATGGTAGAAAATGATGATGCTGTGAGCTGAGCGGTCGCCATTGGAAAGTCTACTGCCTCGCTGCCCACAAAATCATCAGAAGAACACAGGTTATACAATCATACTCCACTTAATGGCGGGGAGCAAGACAGAAAAGGGCTAGAAAAAGAAAACTCGCAGCAGAATCACCAGAGCTAATTTTCGGCATTTTCCAGGAAGCAAGCACATGAACCAAAAAATTAAAGGCATGAAGCTTTGAAACATAGGAGAATAGGGGAAGATAATACCTTGATCGGAAGGGAACTTGGTATAGATTCTGATTTGCGACCGAGCTTTGAGAGTGGAGGAGTGAAGGCGTTGAAGAAATGAAGATAAAACCCTATAAGGATTGGGGTTTTATCTGATAGACCCTTCTAGAATTCTCACGAGCGGAGGGTGACCGAGCAGGTATTGAGGTAACTCGGGCAGCCGGGTCGCACCGTTCTAGGTTAACAAAGTTTTGTTTTGTTGTTTTTGTTGTTTTGTTGTTTTTTTTTTTTTTTTTTTTTAAGGTAAGCATTTGAAAGCAATACCATGGGTTTATCTTTTTCTTATTGAGGATTCCCCTCTAATCTTTCTTTTTTTCTAAAAAAAAAAATCCTTATACATTATAAAGATTTGAATTCGGGACTTTTTCATCCTAACATATTAATCTATTTCTTTTTTTCCCTACAAATGTTAACCCATTCTTAGCATGGGAGATGTCATGTGTCATTAATTTCTATTTTGACTTCCAATTTTTTGCATTTCCTTGATTTTTTTTTTTAACCGGAAGTGCATTCAAAATTTAAAGAAGTTTACATAAGAATAAAGGTTCCTATCTAGACGCTTTCATCATTCATTGTCTCTTGAAGGAGTGGTGGAAGTTTATCAAAAGTATACAAATTAATATCTAAACTATGTGAAAACATAGCTAAATAGTCAGGATAAGCATTGAAATTCCTATTGACATGCTTAATAGATAAACTCCAATTCCCTCATTTGATGAATGTATTAAGCTTTTTCTAAAGAAAAAAAAATGAAAAATGATAGGTTCTGAAATTTTGATTTGATAATAGTTAGGCTTTTGATATAATTTAAAAATGTGTTGAAATTATTTATTCAAATAATTACAAATCTATGAACTTAAATTGCAGATAAGATATTTAATTTTTTTTAAATAAAAAGATGCAAATATATTACTAGGCAAACAAATTTCATTCAACTCCTCTTGATGAAGATAATCAGAAATATAAAAGGTTACATCTAAGTGATGTGAAGACCAAGTTAGATGATTACCATAAATATTATACTATATTTTTTGAAAAAGATATTTAAATATCAGATATAACTCTCAAATTGTAATTATGAGTTATTTTTTAATTGTTTGAATTGATATTTGCTACTCATTTTCTTATAAAATTTTGTCATAAATCTAACCATCAATCTTTTAAGATTTAATTTTCATTCCTTTTTTTTTATCCATCATCTGCATAGTTTCATGCTAGCTCTGCATATGTATATAGCTCAAAAAAGTACTCATGTTTGATAAATATATAAGCTTATAGTTAAAAAATACAAGTGCTGAAAAAGAAAGACACATTCTCTCTGATTCTAGCTTTAACAACCCAATCTGCCACCATATTACCTGTCGTAGGAACTCAACAAGATTGATGGCACCTTACTAAATTCCTTTTAATTAGCAAGGTCTCAATAATAATATCAAACCCCCAGTCATGACACAACAGTATTGTTAAAGAGTGCCTGAATCATCTGTAAGCAATCTGATTCAAACACAACATGCCAGCCAATGTGTTGATTTAAGTTTGTTGTTGGTGAATAATTAGTCCTATTTTTGTTTATCAAATTTTATTGTTTATTGTTAACATGATTAGCCTCATCAAAGTATTATGAGACCATAATCATTTAACCAAAACCAGAATGTTTCATATCATTTGTAAATTGCTTGCATATTTTATTAGATTTTTAGTCAGTTATGGTCAATTAGTCAAAGCTAAGTTTGCTATGAGATTAGTTGAGCGATTAAGAACCCTTGTATATTTGTCATTGCACGTGTCATTGTATTGTGCTTTAGGAGTTTACGATCCATTTTGTTCTTTGATCTTATTTTTTGGCTTAATATCATAGCCATCCACTACCAGTTGCTTCAACCACCATTAGTCGCTTCTTTGTTAGTCATCATAGACTTGATCTCTGATTGGATCGATCATTCATAAAAAAATATGGCTTAATTGACTAGATCTACTCTAAATGGCTCTATAGTGCTATCGAGCTTTCTAATTACTATGGCAGCTTATTACAGCTTCTTTAATAAGAAAATTACTATTTGACTAGACGATCACAATTATCTCCTATAGAAGCAGCAGGTCTACCTCATGGTAAAACAATATCTTCTTCACCGATTCTTGGATGGTGCTTGAAATATTCTCCTCCTTCTAAATCATGATTAACTCTAAATCTCAAGAAATAAAGAGATTTGATTAAGATAATTAACATAAAACTAAGTTACAAATGGTAAAAAGTTAGGATCCCAAGTTTATAAAATAAAAACCATTTTTAAAATCTTTAAAATAGACAAATCAGAGTTCAAAATATACAGAAGCATAGGATAATTTCAAGCATGAGTGCATTTGTTAAAGAACTTGAGAACAAGATAATTCTGTAGAATTTTAGGGCGTGTGCCGCGACTTGTCAAACATGTACCATGATGTGTTCGCCTTTATGCCATACGTCGTAGCGCAATTGCATGATTTTTGACAATAAATTTTGCTGTCAATTTGATAGCTTTTGGGGTTACTCCTGACTCACCCCAGTTCTTCTCTTGACATCTGATTGATGCGAACTAAGTGTCTACAGAAAGTTTTTTTTGAGCTCTAATTAATGGATTTGATTTCATGATAAAATAATTACTCGATCAAAATTTAGATACTCTTTTCAAAACTTACATTTTTTCAATAATTTTCACAAAACTAAATGTCCAATTCAATTACTAAAAGCCAATAGCCATTAACGCTAATAGCCATTTGACCACATGCAAAACATTAAAACTAACTCATACAATGTACCATATTCTATTAAACACTTAAAGATCACAATTTCATTACTCAACCCTTTAATTTCAAAAATATAAGGGGGAGTTTAAGCACATTTTCATCAAGTGATCTATAATCAACCCATAATATACTCAACTTTTACTTGCATTAGCATTTTGGCCCTATCACAAATAACACATATCATCAACTCACACACCAAGGCCCAAAATACACTTACAATTTACAAAACACATAATGCAAGTGAGGGTTAAATGGACTATTCCTAGTTGACAACTTAAATTGTCAAATACACATAATAACTAAAAAATATATAGGCATACTAAATAGGATCTCAGTCCTATGCCTCTAGTTGCTTTTCTTTATTTGATTCTCTTGAGCTATTTCTTATAATATTGAATATAATGTGGTGAGTACAACCATTCAGTAACTAAAGTCCAACTAACTTATGCTAATGCATATCATTAATTTAAATGTAAGTGGCAATTATAAGTAATTACAAAGTATGGACATGTTTAAGGGCTTAACCGGGCTTAACCTTCTCATCATCTTGAAGACATACATATGAGATTATGATTAAAAATTAATTTGTCAACATGTCACAAGAACAATATCCACATATTCGTTTGCAATGATTCATATTCATAGAATGTCAAACAAATTAATATCCTTACATAATCAATAAGATTTCTAAGTGTCTTAATTCATTGGGGTCATAATATATCAACCATGTGCCCTTTTTCACTATATGCATGATCACACTTTCCTTATCTCCTCCTTATTCTTTTGATATGAAACTATAGGCTATAATATGATGGGATAGTCTAGAATTTATGACTTTCCTAGCCTAAATACTTATGAGGGGATTACCCAACCAATGCTCACCCAACTCACTTGTGAACACGGTTTCCCCTATTACTCACACTATAGGGTGTCATATGTAACATCCCAATTTAAATTTTAATAGTTAATTTAGGTTAATAGAAATTTTTTTTTAAAAAAATAATAATATTTAGAGGTAAGAAAATTAGTAGAAAATGATTATTAAATCTAATTTAGGATATAATTCTAAATTTTAAAAAAAATTTAAAAAAAAAATAAATAAATTTATTAAAAAAATTAATTAAAAAATTAATTATTAAATTATTATTATAATAAAAAAAAGGGAAAAAGGTATGCCAAAACAAAAAAAAAGGAAGAAGAAGAGAAAACGAATTTGCTTTCGGCGCCGCATGAATAGTAAGTATAAAATAATAATAAAAAAAAGGGGGGAAGAGAGAGAAGAAGAAATAATAAAAAAATGTGTGGGACCCACTGAATTTTTATAAAAACTCACCTTCCTTCATTTCCTCATTCATTCTGCGCGCGAGCTGAGGCGGAGAGAAGCGAGTTGCCGGTGCGAAATATCTAAATTTTTAAGGTAAGAGTTTTTAATAGGATATTTAGGGTGTGATTTTAAGCTTTTCAAGACTAAGTAAGTGTTCTAAAAATTTTTCTTAGTCATCCTTCTTATTTAGTTTCTGAGTTTGTAGTGGTAGAAAATTTAAGATCTGGAAGAGGGATGAATTTATGTTGAATAAATATGATTTTTGAGGTTGTCAGTAGTATAATAAATGTTCTAGAGTATAAATTTATTGATGATCTTTGAATCTGTGGCTTATGGATCAAATTCTAAACTAGATCTAAAAATATATGTTGATTTATTGAGGTTTAGATGATTATTTGGGATGAGAAATGAATTATTATGGTTATAGGATTATGATTCTAAGCTAGAGACTCAATTTTTAATTTTTGAGTATTTTAGGTACGAATTTATAAAATAAAAAAAAATTTTTGATAATAGAAATTAGTTTAAAATTTGATTTTTTAGATTATTAATGTTTATTGATAATTAAAAGAGGAGTTAAAAATTTTACTTAATAGTATTAACTATAGATTTGTATTAAGATTGAGATTAGGAATTATGTTATATTTTTAATTTTATTATTAGAATTATTTTATTAGTTTCAAAAATTGAAACTAATATTTATAAATAATATGTTATTTGTAGATTGTATTACTGGTGAAGATTGTGGAGAGAGAAATTTTAAGGAATAATTTATTGAAAAGCCACAAGGTAACCATGCTTTTAATTTATGATTAGTGTTACTTCTTGTTAATTGGGTGATTATTGAGAAAATTATGAATTTTGTAATATTGTATAATTGTGCAATATTATTATGAATTTGTTTAATTATTGTGGGAGGTGTTGGGAGACTTGCTATTATTGTTGTATTTATGTGCCACGTGGTACGCCCCTATTGTAGCTCAATAGGTGGCTTGTAAGGGCTCGGGCTAATCTACCTTTGGCCGGGTAATTT